TGCATCATATCTGTCATCTACACTTTGTTGATTTTCTTCCACTTCGCTGGTTAGGGATCTGTACATTTCACCTTTCTAATCGATTACTTTGCCCTTTTGTTATAGGCCAATGATATTACATAAAACATTTCTTCCTCATTGCAAGGCTCTCTGTAATAACTTTACAAATATCTTCACATTCCAACGTGAAACATGACAGCTAAGCATGGAACATATTGTGTGCATAAAATTCAAAACCTAAGCAATGTTAAGATAAAATTCAGACTTAGCTATAACCTGGGGCTACTGACACAGTCAAATCTCTGTGATACAATCCAGCAAATCTTTCACTGCCACTGCAAATCCTAAACATGCGACCATATTATATGTCTATGAAAGAAAAAAGTGAAAAAGTGATATATTTTTCATACAGACCTTTGTTAGAACAACAAATTCTTGACCAAAAGCTGCAATAAAATACATAAACATTATGAAAAAGAAGTAATTAAATATTTATTAAAATGCTTACCATGCTAGGCAAAGAATTTGGAAATGGGATTATTTGAATGCCACTTAGAAAGAGTTGCACAGGCACAATGGCCCAAATGGTGGCCTCCTGTGCTGTACATACTATGTTGAAAAGTATTACAAATTTGAAGAGCCAATGTACACACAATGGAACTTGTTCATATTTATATACAACCAGTAGCATTCCTTATATGTGCAAGAGCAAAGGTCAAAGCCATTTGGACAAGTGTCTAGCCATATGCATTTCAGGGGACACTTAAAGGGAAGGCAATGGCCTAGTGGCATTATCACTGGACTGTTAATCCAGAGACCCACATAACATTCTGGGGACCTGGGTTTGAATCCTGCTATGGCAGATGGTGGAATTTGAATTCACTAAATATCTGGAATTAAGAATCTAATGATGACTGTAAATCCATTGTTGATTGTTGGGGAAAAACCCATCTGGTTCACTAATGTCCTTTAGGGAAGAAAACAGCTATCCTTACCTGGTCTGGCCTACATGTTGACTCCAGACCCACAGCAAGGTGGTTGGCTCTTAACTGCCCTCTGGGCAATTAGGGATTGGCAATAAATGCTGCCTAGCCAGCAACGCCCTCATCTCATAAAGGAATGGGCAGACTGAAAATGGACACATTTAGTGTAATGTAAGAGGTGGGGATGGAACAGAATTTTCTCTTATTTCTAATTCAATAGCAGGGATATTGTGAAAGGGGGAATGAAAATAGCAGAAATCTAGAGACAGGTACAGGTTAAGGAAAGTCAGAAAGGAAAGAATGACGAAGTTTAGAAAGATATACGCAAGGAAGGGATGGGTTGAAAGAAAAAAAGGAAGAATTGTGGAGAGAAAGGCATACTTTCAGAGAAAGAAGGAGATTTTTTAAAGACGTACAATTAAAAGCAATATAGAGAGAAAACATGCGAAGTGCAGGCAGAATACAGATTGGAACAGGCCTAATTTTCATCTTCCCATCTGTGCATATATCAGATTTATGTGACACAAAGCAAACAAGACAGAAAATACCAAACAGATAATTAAGGAAGAGACCTTGAGAAGGAAAGAGAAACAGCAAGTTTGTGGAGAGAATACGTGAATATTTTGCAATATGCAAAAGGAAGAGCTAAACAGAGTGAACCAGTGAATAGAGGCACGATGACAGAACAAAATGTTATAATAGATGGTGAGAGATAAATTGTTGAGGGGGCTCTACCCTCTTCGAGGAGATGGAGATGTTTCACCTTGTTGCACAGAGGGCAACTCCGGACTTGAATGGAGTAAGTCCTCTAGAGTGTACTGTGTGCCTGAATAAAACAGCATACCTCCTGACTAACTGTGACCAATGCGTTGTAGATCACCACTTCTTTTTTCAATATTCACATAGTAATGCTTTTAATTAGAGGTATGCTGTAAGAAAGTTCATCTGCTGTGAATGATTCAAATGCTGTAAGGCAAATTAAACTTTAAATATTGGAAACAGAATTATAATGAAAAAGTAATTGTATCAATTTTTTTTCCGTTGAGGTTATTGCTAATTCATGTACTACCATAGTAGTCACAGAGTAAAAACAGCTGTTTGATAAATGAGTATTTAAGACATTGAAATTATGCCCTGTGAATATTAACTTACGAATTTTAACACGTTCACAAAAATCCCTTTGTTCACTATTTCAAAAGAGAGGTTAGTCAATTTTAAACTGATTTAAGCCCCAGACAAAGAAATTTTATACAAATGTCTTATGTTTGCATGTTTAAATTTGCACAGTGTAATTGCAAGGTTTGAATCTTGCCAATTTGCTATAATATCAGACCAATCTAAGTCAGAAATTGCTTCATCCTTGACTTTGGCAACGGTATATAAAAGGACAGGAATTTGCTGTCTCCTAGACAGATATTGTAATCATGAAATACACACTGATTGTACCGTAAACAACAGCTTCAACCGCTGTTTTGAAATTCATGCAGCTTTAGTGACATTTAGAAAAGTAGCAGCTGGACCGACATCCAGACTAGAAATATAAAAGGAAATGTGAAACCTGAGTACAAAATGAACAACATACATAGAATGAGCAATATAAACAATACAATTAAAATGAAACAGACAGCAATCCATTCCATTTAGATTCAAGCTCCAAACTAAATTGTGTTTCAGAGTTAAATGGTTGACCTGAGAAAACATCTGACAGTGTCGATTCTGAAAGTTACAAATTGCTCAGACATTTGTTCTTGTGAAAATAGGCTATAGAATACCTGATTATTATGTTATTGAGGTGTAGAAGCTTAACCTGTTGGTGTTAAAATATATTATTCATCACACAATAAAGACATGGCTGCATTCAGCAGATATCAAAATGTAGCACTTTGCAGCTCTTAAAATTTTGCAATTTATGTATTGTTCTAAATGTCATTGCATTTAAGTGCATCCTGCTCCTCCAACAGTCATCGTCTTCTACTGCCATGTGCCCACAGCAACCTTAAATTCTTCAACTCCCCCACCGTGCTTTCAAAAACTATCTAAAAGCTCTCACTTGAGTGTGCTTTTAATGACTACTCAGTTCCTGTCACTCCATCCATTCTCTACTCTTGTTTGCTTCCCCCTCCACCTTGTATTTTATTCCAAGATGGATATCTTTGCATCTGAAATGAAAATTGTTGATGTTCAGCTGAAGTGACAGTGGCAGAAGATTTTTAACCTAATTAGTGCTTGCTTTGATACAATTTTCATTTAACTTCCGACAGTGTTAAAAGTGAAGTTTCAGGTTTCTCATCAGAAACTGTTTCAGTATGATGTAGTGTGAGGGTAACAGATCAAGGTTAGCTCATGACATTTTCTTTAACATTATGCATATTACTGACCTAGACTTTGAGGCAAAGGTACAATGATACAAAACATGGGAGTAATGTAAACTACGCAAAAATAGCATAGAAGTTCAAAAGCCCATAGACAGGTTGGTAGAATGGGCAGTATTGTGGCAAATGAAATTAATTCGGTGAAAGTTAAATATCAAAATATAATAAGAGGTACAATTCTAAAATGAACATAAGAATAGAGGGTGTGAATGTGAATAAATCACTGAAGGTGTTAGGATGGGTTCTGAACATAGTGCATAAAGCATACAGCCTCCTGCGCTTAATCAACAGGGAATGGAGTGCAAAGTTATGTTAAGCTTGCTTCGAGTACTGGTCAGATTCAACTGACCTACTGTGTCCAAGTCTGGGTTCCAAAATTTAGGAAAGAGAGAGTGTGCAGAAAGATTTCAGGGAACTGGTTCTGTTTATGAGGAACTTTAAATAAGTGGAAATATTAGGAGATTTTGGGTCTCCTCTGCTTGGAAGAGGTTGAAAGGAGATTTGATAAAGGTTCCAAAATCATGAGGGACCTGAACAGAGCAGATGGACTGAAATTGTTCCCTTTGATGGAAGTATGGGAAACCAGCTTACATGTCCATTATAAAAGGAGTAATGGCGAAATGGGGAAAAATGGAGGGACAATTAATGGGGGTGGTATGGTGGCTCAGTGGTTGGCATTGCTGCCTCATAGCGCCAGGGACCTGGGTTCAATTTCACCCTTTGATGACTGTCTGTGTGGAGTTTGCACATTTTCCCTATGTCTGCATGGGTTTCCTCTGGGTGCTCTGGTTTCCTCCCACAGTCCAAAGATGTGCAGGTTAGGTGGATTGGCCATGCTAAATTGCCCATGGTGTTCAGGGATGTGTAGCTTAGGTGGGTTATATGGGAATGGGTCTGGGTGGGACACTCTGAGGGCTGGTGTGGACTGGAAGGGCCTGTTTCCACACTGTAGGGACTCTATGATCTATGATCTATAATTAAGACATTCAAAAGAGAATTAGATTATAAAGTGGAAAGGAGGAATTTGCAGAGCTACTGGGAAAGAGCAGGAGAGTGGCATTTAGTGAACTGCTCTTTCAAAGGATGAGCACGTACAGAGCAGGCTATGATTCTATTCATGGAGGTTTAAGAGAATCCAAAAGATTACTGTTGAAATTTTCATATATATGTTCCAGCAATGGCTGTTCTCAGATGCGATCCTGCTGCCTAACTACCTACCCTCTGCAGCTCAATTAAGATGAGCGCTCTCCTTGAACTGTGCAATTTCACCATTGCTCATACACACCCACACACTTTTGCTGAATGCTTATCCAAATTCATATCTCTCTATCCTACCCTCTAAATACACCAGCCATGGCTCAATGGTAGCATTCCCACCCGAGTCGGAAGGCTGTAGCTTCAAGTCCCACTCAAGAAACTTCTCGAAATCCAGATTAATATTCCAGTTTATTACAGAGGGAGTGCCACCCTGTTATGGTGGCATCTTTTGACTGAGATGTTAGACTGAAACCTCTTCTGCCCATTCCAGTGGACATAAATGTTCCCATTAATTTTAAGGTGAGGTGAGAAAGGTTTAAAAAAGACATGAGCAGCAACTTTTTCACACAGAAAGTGGTTCGTATGTGGAATGAACTTCCAGAGGAAGTGGTGGATGTGGGTACAGTTACAACATTTAAAAGACATTTGGATAAGTGTATGAATAAGAAATGTTTGGAAAGATATGGGCCAAGAGCAAACAGGTGGTACTAGTTTTCTTTGGGATTATGTTCAACATGGACTACTTGGACTGAAGGGTCTGTTTCCGTGCTGTATGACACTTATAAAAAAGGACATGATGTCTTGGCTAATATTTAGAGGAAGCTTATTTTGTCATTTTCATTGTTATTTATTGGACTTTGCAGTGTGCAAATCACCAGCTATCTTCTTATGTTACTACAGTCACTACACCTCAAGAATAACTTAATTGGTTGCAAAGCACTAGAAATCATAAAAGGTGCTATATGAATGTGATTTTGTTAATTCATTTAAATAGATGGTGCCAATAGCTGAGGGAGTTTGTAAGATTGGGAGGCAGCTCCTGCTGTATCGTGCTGCCTTTGTTCTCACTGTTCTCTGCTTCCTGAAGACTGATTGGGGCTCCTGGAACTGAAATGCAGACAGAAAAAAAAGGGACAAGTGTTAGCATTTAGTGACATGGGTAAGCAGAGACAGATGGTTAGTTTCTGAAAGCAGTAGCAACTTGTAGTGGTAACCCTGGCCCCGTTTGTAGCTCTCTTGCTCCCCCAAGTCAGAGAGTTGCAAGTTGAAGTCTCACTCCAGATCTTAAACAGAAAAGTCAGCACTGATATTATAGTACAGTACTGAGGGAGTGTCATGCTGATGGTGATGCCATCATTTGAATTAGGCATTAAAGCAAGATCCCATGGCACTATTTCAAACAGCTTGGGAATTTTCCCCAATGCCTTGGCCAATATTTATCCCTCCAATTAAAATAATTAAATCAGATTATTGGTGTGTTCCTGTTTGTGGGAGCTGGCTGTGTACAAATTAGCTCATACATTTCCTGCATTACAACAATGGAAACACTTCAGAAGTATTGTACTTCATTGGCTACAACACAATCTGTGATGGACTGATGTTTTGCAAGGTACTACAGAAACATTTTTTCACATCATGTATAGGTTTGACATTAAAGGAGGGAAAGATCGTTTAAAATCATTCAAGATGTCACCTTACCAGATGCCATGCTCTTATTATGCTATATGCCCATGATGCTTGTCAACTGATCTTCAGGTGGGTTCAGCTTCTGAAAGATGTGTGGTCCATCCCCAGGCACTGGCTATTCCTGTAAGGAAGGAGCATGTGAACGTCAGAGTATTGAGTGATTTTGAATACCTGCTTATCAGGGTGAAACAGTGGCTTGTGATAGATGGGCAAGTTGTGGGGAGACACAGCAAGGGCTAACAACAGATGCAAATGCAGAGTGACTGCAGAAAGATTCTGAGAAGATGATGTGAAATGAAGATGCTGTGGCGATTAATCAGCACTGGAGCACGAGCTCATTCAAGGCTGAATAGTAAACAATGGAGCTTATCTTTGGTGCTGGTGAAATTGTTATATTTCTAGGGGATATTGCAGCTATGTCCTTCGCTGAGCATTTAAAAAAAACTGAAAAGAACTGCAAATGCTGGAAATCAGAAACATAAACAGAAATTGCTGGAGAAATGCAGCAGGTCTGGCAGTATCTGTGGAGAGAAACAGAGTTAACATTTCAGGTCCAGTAACCCTTCTTCAGAACTGATAAAGGCTGACCTTTCCCCATTCCTTTGTCTGGTCAACTCTTGTTCTCTCTCAACAAAAACTGAAAGAACTGCAGATGCTGTAAATCAGAAACAAAAATAGAAATTGCTGGAAAAGCTCAGCAGATCTGGCAGCATCTGTGGAGAGAAATCAGAGTCAACATTTCAGGTTCTGAGTTAGGGTCACTCGACCTGAAAGGTTAACTCTGATTTCTCTCCACAGATGCTGCCAGACCTGCTGAGTTTTTTCCAGCAATTTCTGATTTTGTTTCTTGCTCTCTCTCTGGGCTCCATCTCCACCTATTCCTTACTTTTCTCACCCACCACCTCATCTTCACTATATATACCAACCTTTTCTTGACTACATTCAGTTCTGAGGACTGGAAACATTAACTCTGCTTTCTTTCCACGGGTGCTGTTGAGTTTCCACAGCGATTTCAGTTTTTGCTTCCTTCTCCGACCACATGCTTTACCATATCTGTTTACGCCTGTTACCCTAAATACCTTTCTACATACGGAGGTTGGCGTATCCATTAGTCTAACAGAAGTCACTCGAGATGACCCACGTACATATTATTGTATCAGAGATAGTATTGTAGATGGTTTGTGACAGAGCAAGCTTGTACACTATTAATAGTGACTTGAATTCCACCCCCACCCTTCTTATTCAGAATCCAAACATCCTTGACATTTCTACGAGAAAGAAACGGGTATTTCTTTTTTCAAATACGCTTTAATTTTCGTTTTGTTTTGCAACACGAATGCGCCTCTTCCATTGAGAAGCACCCATCCCGGGTGTTAACTCAGTCGATTTCATAGGTTCCCGGTAACACTGGCGCCGGGGAGGGAACTCACTAAGTGACAGTCCGCTGAACCCTCGGTCAGGCAGATGCCTGGTGGACGGACAACCTGGGGATTTTTTTTTTGGGGGGGGGATACTTTCTGCCCTGCTCAAACTTCCGCATTCACCCCATAAAATAAAAACGCATCGCCTCGCCACTTAGAACTGGGGCGCACATGATCTCGGAAACAGCGCTCTCACTCTCCGTCCCGATTCTCAAGTGGGGAAACTCGCCTAGCGCTTCTGGCAAATAAAATGCTGAACATTTTAGCATCGCCGGCAAAATCAAAATAGAAGACGAAAGCTATACCATCGGGCCGCAAAGCTGTGTGGCATTTAAAGGCATCAGATGCCACTTCACGGAAAAATGCACGTTAGCATTACCCACACCTTTACGTATTTTTTTTGGATAAGACTATCAATATGCATTGGTGAGATGTCCACCCGTTAAATTCCGCCCTGTCCCCTTTAAATGCAGTTTGTCCCTCTCACTCTCGGTGTTTGTTTTTGCTTCCTCCCCCCAACCAAGTGCTTTATTTTTTTCCTCTTCTTTCTCCGTGCGGTGTGTCAATGTATCTTTTTGTGTCTCTGGTTGGACGGTGAGATTCAAATCATTACGACAGCTGCAGTTTGTAGCGTGTCGCTTTCGCGCCAGCTCACTGCACGGTAACAAGCTGTACTCTCCCTAGCTTACAGTGCCACCTCGCTATAACCTGCTGCATCTGCTGCTGTAACCGCAGGCAAAGCAAGCAACTCGCCTCCAGCACTTGTCAACGGTGTGCACGGGTTAACCCTACCTGATCTGAAAAGGATTTAAATATGTATAAGTGTAATTGCATTGTATTTTAACTGGGCCACACTTGATGTTCCCCCCGCGTCTGTCGCGCACGCAGAAATGAACGGGGGCGAATTCAAAGCGGCTAATGTGCAGTTTGCCTTTCGTGCTGGGGTTGGGAGGGGGGGCATCTGTTCCAGTCACCGGGATACTAAGCCGAGGACGGCGGCTTGGTGAGTTTCTCATCGCGCCTTCGGAAGAGCTGTGGTTGCTCCCTTCCAAGCGGTTACAGTGATTTAAAAGTTGCAGCAAATCGTGCGATAAATTATATTTTAAAGAAAATGTAAACCGACTCTGCAGCTCCCAGGACTGGGTCTCTCCCCTATTGCTGGCAAAGGAATTTAAATACTCGAAGAATCGTTTCGTTTTAGACAAAAAAAAATCCAACGTAGGCAAAGACAATATTAATTTCGACAATCCCCCCCCCCCCGTCACCCGGTGTTTGCGGAATGGTCTAGTATTGGAAGGTTTGAAAGGACTGAGTCTACCCGCAGGATTTCCTAAAACTAAAAGGCTGGCGGAGGTGGTCTTGTTATTTATTTTTCTGGTCGCTTAAAAGTGCGAATCGCTTTTTCCGGGCCACTGACAATACAGGAAATTTTAGCTGGTCTAATCGAATAATTTGGAAAAAAAGAGACACAGCGAAATGGTTAGTTGGACCAGAAAGTAATTGTTTCTGCAAAAGCTTGTGAGTAACTAGCGTTAGAATCCGACACAGCAGCACCCCCCGAAAACCCTCTGTCGAATGATGATCAGTGTCTCATCAATCGTGTAATTCGGAATTAACTTTTTCTTAACCCACACACATCGCCACCGCTTAATACTTTCGTTTGCTGCCAGTTGAGATTTTAGCTGAGTGTTGTGGAAACCTTCCAAGTTTATATTTTTTTCAGAAACGTGTTTTTTTTTTCTTTAAATTGTACAGTAAAACTCAAATTTTTCTTTAAGTAGTTCCCATCGGCCATTTGAGCGTTGTTGATCTTGTTACATTTCCGAGGCGTGCTCAAGGTCAGGCAAAACCAGGGAAATGGGGCTGGAGGGGAGGGGTGGGGGGCTGCTGCTTTCAGCTCTTACCTCTTGGCGGAGGAAATTTGGGTGTGGGGAGGGGAGGTGAAAAAAGCAGCCACGGTGACTGCTTTATCGGCAGTTTGTCCAAGGAAGGAGTGGGCAGAGACGTGTTGTTGGGGGGCTCCTGCATTTCACCTCCTGCCAGGACAGAATTGGAGAGAGAGAGAGACAGAGATGGGAGGGTCTGAGAGAGAGATCGCTGTCAGCTGAATTCATTACTGTAAACATCTCCCAGGGGTTTTAAGAGGGAAAGGGAAGACTTACATTAGCAATAAACAGTCTGATCAGCCGCATCATTACTGGCGTATGACTGCGTGCAGCAGGAATTCAGTCTGGAGCGCAAGGAAGAGTGATAAAGTGTTTTTTTTACTCTGTCTTCCTTTCTTTACCTACCGTATAAATCCTCCCGTCTCTAGAAGAGAAACCACTGGCAGAAGCGACACCTGAGAGGCTCCGGTGCTTTTTGAGGGAGCGGAGAGAGAGAGAGACCAGAGCATGGTCACACTGCTGAAGCAAAACCCGCCGCTGGACTGAGCAGAGAACGCTGTTTCAGTGATGACAGAAACCGAAAGCAACACAAGTCAGCCCCCAGCAACTACTGGGACTGCTCTCCCCAGATTGTCTATCAAACCAGGAAAATTGTGAAAGAGAACGAAAAGCAGAGGATGAGCGAGTCACAGAATCGGACAACAACGTAAAGGTAGTTGGAATCTCTTCTAGTAAAAATCGTTTGAATTTTATACATTATTACAATTTGATTTTTTTTAAAAATTATCTGGTGCTTATATCCATCACTTAATATTAACCACCATCGCAGCTACTTAAATTTTAGTCAGTCTGAGGCTATTTTTATTCCCCTTCTGTCTTCTGAACTGGCTTTTTAATAGTCTTGTTTTATTAACTGGCATGGAGTAAGCTGAAGGCAGTTAATGGTATGCTGACAGCCCATAGATTTTTCCAGCAGAGGCAGCTCTAGGTTGAAAAATACAGTTCTGAGAGTACGTGAATCCAAATGAACTATTAATTTATTTCTCATGTGTTTTTTTATCTAACGGAATAGGATTCTAGATGTACAAGGCAAGCTGAGATGACACCCCTTTCTGACTTGGAGCAGCAGTGTGTGACGAAGAGACTCCAGATTTAATAAACCCACCGAAAGCTGCTAGCCTCTGTGTCTGCATTTATATGTGCGCTTTCAAATTGCCAATCTCCGGTGAAAGCAGAATGTGATGTGCTTTAATTCTCACCAAGTGTCCTGGTTTAGATGGAAGAATTTGCGGGTCTCGGCTGTAGTTTACAAATTGCTGCTTCCACTATTAAGTCATAAAACAAAAACGCACACAAGGATTATTCTCACCAGGCACATGTACTGTTTCTGCTCCCAAGTGTTTGGATGAAGCAAATACTGGCTGTACATTCACAGGAGCTGCCTCTGGCATTGTGGATTTTTTAACCGCCTGCTGTTTTACAATTAGAATTCCTTAATTGTTAAGAGTGATGGGAATGTCACAGACCAGAGTCTGTTTCGTGGACTGGATTACTTTTTTGCAGTTATGGATTATATTTCCGTTGGGACTGTGCACGCCAATAACTGAGGCGGATTTTTGTCCTTTGGAGTGTCGTTGCGATAAGAAATTTGTTTACTGTAATGACCGTGGCTTGACATCAGTGCCTGCTGGGATACCAGAGGGTGCCGCTATTCTCTACCTCCAAAACAACGTCATCAACAATGCTGGATTTCCTCTTGACTTGCGAAATGTGCTCTCTGTTCAAACGGTATACTTGTACGGCAATGAGTTGGATGAGTTCCCCGTAAACCTACCAAAAAACATGAAAGAGCTCCACTTACAGGAGAATAATATCCAGACTGTCTCCCGGGAAGCTATCAGCCAGTTGCAGAAACTCGAAAAGCTACATCTGGATGACAACTCCATCTCAACAGTTGGCATTGAGGATGGCGCTTTCCGAGAAGCTACCAACCTCAAGTTGCTGTTCTTGTCCAGGAACCACCTGAGCAGTGTGCCTATTGGGCTCCCATTAGGGTTGGAAGAGCTCCGGCTGGATGAGAACCGGATCTCCATTGTGCCGGAGCTAGCCTTTCAGAATCTGACCCTTCTTCAGCGCTTGGTCTTGGATGGGAACCTCCTGACCGACAGCGGGATTTCTGAGGGAGCCCTGGAGCCGCTGGTCAAGTTAACCGAACTCTCGCTGGTGAGGAATTCTCTCACTGTGCCCCCACCAAACCTTCCAGGTGGCCACTTGGTGAAACTGAATTTGCAGGAGAACCAAATCAGTCAGATTCCGGTCACTGCCTTCACACAACTGAAACGGCTCGAGAAGCTGGATCTCTCCAGCAATCAGCTGCGGATGCTGGTGAGAGGAGTTTTTGATGGTATGACCAGTCTGAAACAGATTCTTTTGAGGAATAATCCCTGGTATTGCGACTGCAACATAAAATGGGTGACCAAATGGCTGCAGTCACTTTCGTTTTCTATAAACGTGCGTGGGCTGATGTGTCAGGGTCCAGAAAAGGTCAGAGGAATGGCTATAAGAGACCTGAACATAAACCTGGTATCCTGCCCAACTACCATACCCACTTCTCACATCACACCCATCCCTCCTGCTCCCTTGCCATCTGCTGTGGTGACTGTCATTCCTACCACCTACACTTCTGGTGCCAACACCTCCATTCTTTCCTTAGCACCGGAGTCAACTGCTCTTGTGCCTACCAGAGACAAAGAATTCACGGACCCTTTGCCTGTCGGCCAGTTGCAACTATCTGTGCAGTTCGTGAATGACACGTGCATTCAAATCAGTTGGCTGGCCATATTTGCAGTGACCAAGTACAGAATCACCTGGGTGAAACTGGGTCACAGTTTAGTCGGTGGCATTGTGCACGAAAGGATAGTCAGCGGAAATACGGAGCAACTGAGCTTGCTAAATTTGGAGCCGAAATCGACCTACAGGATTTGCATGGTCTTGCTGGATGCCTCAAATAACTTGCACCCAGAGGACGATACTGTTTGTTTAGAAGCCACCACAAAGTCGTCATCTTTTAATACGAACATGGCCTCAAGTCCTGAGCAGGCAGCCCAGCAGGACCTGAGCTCCCCTTTACTGTTGGCAGGGTTGATAGGGGGAGCTGTGATCATTGTACTGGTGGCTCTGCTTGGCGTTTTCTGCTGGCACATGCATAAAAAGGGCAAATACGATTCGCACTCGTGGAAGTACAATCGGGGGAGGAGGAAAGATGACTACTGCGAGGCTGGCACAAAAAAGGACAACACTATCCTCGAAATGACTGAGACCAGTTTTCACATAGTCTCATTAAACAATGAACAAATGCTCAAAGAGGATTTTAGACTGCAGTCAATATACCCTCCGAACGGAGCGATTAACTTTACAGACTGCCACACCAGAAGCAACAGCAGATACTGTACTGGTGGGGCACCAGATTTGGAGCAATGTCATACATGACCATGCAGTATAAACACCGTGCAGTTATAGGACTTTCTAGAATATATTTGTGAAATATTGTCCAGACAGATTGTGTCTGCCTACTGTGTAATTTATACAGTGTAAAAAAATGGCTATCTTTTTTATTATAAAAAATAAGTAGCAACAATTTTGTAATGCGGTCAAGTGATTTAAGAAAAAAGAGATTAAGTAAGCTGTATAGTTGTTGCTGTACAATCAAGGCCTATGTTCATAAAAGATTTTTTAAAAAGTATGACAGCATTTAATGATGTAGTTTCACAGTCGGGGTTTAAAACATCATGTGAACAGTTACACTGGCACCTAATTTAAATACTGACAAATACTGACAGTTGGTCTGATCTTCCCAGGCCACCCCTCCACCATGTTTCTCACTTTCCTGTCTTGAAAGTGGTCGTCCCACATTGTGGCATTGATTCCTCTTTCGTCAGTAACTTGTCCCTCAGCACGGCCAGATTGAGTTGTGAACCTAAATATGACTGCAGGCTTGCAGTCACGGAGGCAGTCCAGTCAAACCGAACATCCACCTACTTTTCAGCTGGGCGAGCATTGCATTGCATTGCGTTGTGTTGCAGTCGGGTGTGGAACCTATTAATTATTTTCTGTCGTCTTACTGCACACTCCCCCCCCCCCCCCCAACCCAATCAGTAGCACTTTGTGACCAGATTTAGCACCTTACTACTTAACTGTGACTAACCAACTCGGCTCAGCTAGCAGTTGGTCTTCACGACTGAAAACCACACCACACATTTAATGACCCATTTCAGAAGTTAAGTCTAATGCTTCAATCGCGTGTTCACTACTTTCAGTAGAACAGATGAGCAGTATAATTTGATTGGCTTTTCATAGAGTCTTCTTAACGTGCCAGTTAAGCTCAGATCTTTTTATTCAATGCTGTGATTAGATTTCCTCCTACAATTAGGTGAATTAAATTTATTCAATTCAAACTCTCCGATAGACAATACTTAATACATTTGAAAAGTATGATAGGTTCATAATAATGAGGTCAAATTAGATGTAGAATTTATCACAAGGTAGTATTATAGTTCTAACACATTTGTTGATTAACAGAAGACAAAATGAGGGATGTTCTCAAACAACAAAAACTACGTAATTCAAAGGGTGCATATTTATTATTGTTGACTTGGTAAAATTTCACTTGCTTTTGAGACAAAAAAGTTTTCAGAGCCATTTTAGTTAATGTGATTCTAGCCCAAAGCTACCAAGTCATGGTAACAGTGAAGCATTAGGATGGCTACTTACTCACCAATTCAGTCCTTATGAAGCTAATCATATAGGAAGACTAAATATGTAATAAAATGACATGAATTGATCAGCATTACATAGGGTCCTCACAGGTAATATGAAGCATTTACATGTCCATTCAAAAACCAGGTGTCATAGATTCAAGCTAAATGGTAGAAGGATTCGAGGGGATGTGAGGAAAAGCTTTTTTTATGTAGAGGGTGGTGGGTGTCTGGAATTTGCTGCCTGAGGTGGAGGCAGAGATCCTAAACTTGAAAAGTACCTGGATCTGCACCTTGAATGCTGTAAGTTGCAGGGCTATGAGCCACATGCAGGAAAATGGGATTAAAAAGGACATCCGGGTGTCTTTGAGTCGACATGGACAAGATGTGCTGAATGGCCTCCTACTGTGCTGTATCATTTCGATGGTTCTAAATGAAAGCCATTTGTTACATTTCATACTTGTTGCACAGATGAATGGGCTAGAGCTGGGGCATCCAATTATTTTTATAATCAGGTGTCCAATTAATTTTTGGAACAATTGTTAACTTTTTAGTTACTTTATGGTTTACAAAAAATGGTGTCATTTCTTAATTCAGTGTGCAGATGCCATCTTTAACAGGAGCGTATTGCTATCATACCAAACAATATCCATTCAGATTGGCCAGTTTTCAACTAAAGCTTTTCTATTCTATACTTGGGGTTTTTATTTCTCCCTTCCGTCTCTGTCTGTCTCCCTGTGCCTTCCATGCCACAAAAAGGATGGCC